GGGGCGCTGCGGGCGGCGCGGGGCGCGCGGACAAAGGCGGCGCCATCGCCGGCCCCGGGGGAGGGCGCGCGCGGGTGTCTCGCCCCGCGGCCTCCCGCCCGCCCGCAACTCCCCTCCGGCTCCGCCGCGCTCCCGTTCTCCCCGCGTTAGCGTGGCTGGCTGCGCCGCGGAGCGGGGACTCGTGGCGAGGGCAGAGATGAAAGTTGCGGTGGCCGCTGCTCGGGGGAAGGTCGCTGCCGTGCCGCCGGCTCGGGCGCTCCGCGGAGCGGTGGAGCGCGGGCTCCGTAAGGCGCTGGAATAACCGCGCTGGGAATGCCCCGCGCCTCGTCCCGCCTCGTCCCGCGGGAGCCGCGCCGGGGTGCCCGGAAAACACCTGGCGCGGGGGGGAACCCGCCCTTCGCGCTCCCCTATTGCCTCTTCCCGAGGAAAAAGAGATACAGATTACACTTCATCAATATCTTGTCTTGTTTTAAACTCCCAGACTCATCCAGTTGCTTAATTCTTAATTCCCAAAGCGTTTTTGGGGAAGAAGTGTTACGAAGTCCCAGGGAGAAAGATAAGAGCCCTTATCAGACGAAGGGCTCCTAGGCTCTTTGTTTAAGGCGCGCTGAGCTCTGCGTTACGAGGTGCAGTGTTTGCCTTTTCCGCGGGCTCTCCCGAGCTATTTGTCCTCGGGACTTCGGACCAGCGACTTGCAAAACTTGGGGAAAAGGGAAGAGAAGGGGAGGGATTCGGGGGCCTGGTCTGAAACGGGAAAGAGGGTTGGCAAATATCCCCCGCAAAACCCCAAGGGATAGAGCCCTCCAACGAGAGCCTCACTTAAGGAATAAAGGTGTCCGAGTATATTAAAGAAGTGTGGACTTTTGAGGAGATGGGGGACAGCAGAGTGCACACTGCTGAATATTTCCCTATTTTTAACTGTTTAAGCAGTAGCTCCCTGAAATAAGGATCTTTCTTGCTTTCCTTTCTTTCCTCCCACAAATTCTTACAGCACATATATATATATTTTTATAGTGCTGCAACAAAGTGTTTTATCAGTTGAATACATGCGTTTTGTTAAAAATGGGACTGTCTGCGGAGCGTGTTCTGGCTTTATGCTGTCGCCTATGGAAATGGGATCAGCTGGTGGCTTTGCCTGGAGCCCGCACAGCTCCTTATTTTAACAATACGTTATTTTAACAATACAGCCTCTGCTTGGGAGGTTGCCTAGGGGATCCATTTACCGCTTCTGCCCTCTGAGGCGGGTGTCCCACAAAGACTTTGATCAATATCGCAGTCTTCCCAACAACGGGAAATAAAATTTTCACCCCATGGAAGCAAAGCTTCCCGCTGGGAATGGATCCCAGTTTTGCCCGAATCAATCTGTCACTTTGAACAGTGTCAAGAAAATACCCATAGCAACAAAACAATTTCATAATGAGCAGCAAAATACAGGACTGTCTGGTGTGCAGTAGTATTTACCTCCAAATTTAGTCCAATATTTAGCTTTTCCCTATTTCCAGGAAAGATTTTACACAGAAGCTGAATATTTTTGTTGTGTCTGCAAAGTAATCTTTCTATTAAGAAAAAGCT